CTCATAAAGCACACAGCGTTTAATTCAATCAAGTAATTACCAGCATTAACAAAGATTCAACGGTCTACAACATTGAGTTAATCCATTGAGAAAAGCCTAATTGACAAGACAACTATTTTAAACTGAATACATGGCCCTCAGTGCCCCCAGTAATTGACCACCGTTCTTCTCACTAACTCTCACGGCTATTCACGACGGTTAAAAAGAAAATAGTTTATTTATTGTATTTCTTTTCTTTTCTGGAATTGTTCTTTTAAAGTCTTAACGTGTGATGTGTTTTAAGAGTATGAACATTTAAAAATGGTTTTAAATGAATTCGTCGTTAATTTTAATATAAAAACGTGCGTTGGATTAGTCGTGTTCTTGCAGGTGGTGATTATTTGTATTTGTGAGGATCTTACGGACTTCAGCAGCCACCCTACGACTGTTAAAGCGAAAGAAAATAACACCGTTTTGTTGCCTTGTCATTTAAATACTTTATCGAATGGTAAGTCTATCATAATATAGTACATTACATAAATTTTAGACTATTTTGGATTAGGGATAAGAGCTTTGCTTTGTTAATAGAAAATTATCGCAATATTTGAAGCACTGTCAAAGACAAGCCAAAATTCAGTTTTAACTGAAAAATTCGTTTAGAAAAATATACAATTATTAGTGCAAAAATGGAAGAAAAGTACCAATTCTATTGTGTCTAAATTGCAGTTGTAAGTACTTACTAATAAAATAATAATAAGAATTAAATTTTTCTTAATAGGAAAATGAAAACATCTTAGAGTAAATGAGTGAAGTGCCCTAATATCGGATACTCATTTTGAACCCTAATATTATTTTTAATACGTCAATTAATTTATTAATATTTTATAGCAAAACAAGTAATATACTATAGAGAATCATTTATTGAATGAAAATAAATCATTTGTAAAAAGGCTTCTTCTTAAAGTGCCCTCTCCTCAATGGAGGTTGGCTACTACAATTTTAAACTCTTCTCTATCTTCAGCTGTTCTTATTAGCTGTTCAAAATTTAGCGCTGTCCATTGTCGGATGTTTCTGAGCCACGATAGTCTTTTCCTTCCTAGGCCTCTCTTTTCCTCGATTTTTCCTTTCATCATAAGTTGGGCATATTGGTACTTATTATTTCTCAGTATGTGGCCTAGATATGTTTTTCTAACTTTTACTGTGTTAAAAAGTTCTCTTTCCTTGCCTATTCTATGCAGCACTTCTTCGTTTGAGGTATGCGGTGTCCATGAAATTTTGAGTATTCTCCGGTAGATCCACATTTCAAAGGACCTCCAATTTATTTACGGTTGATGTTTTAAGGGTCCACGTTTCAACTGCGTATAGAAGAGTCGACCAGACGTAGCATTTTGATAAACATAGTCGAATTTCGAGTTTTATTCGAGAATCACAAAGCAGTTTTTTTATTTTTTCGAAAGATTTTCTGGCATGTTCTATTCTCGATCTTATTTCTAGATCAGGATTTAGACTGCTATCGATCCAACATCCCAGGTACTTAAATCTATTGACCTGTTCTAAAAAGGGCCCATTTATTGTGCAAGGTTGAGGTACGTTTTGGTTTTTTCGGATTGACATCTCTTTGGTTTTTTTCTAATGTTTATTTTCAAACCAAATTGCTCACAGGTCGAGTTGGTCTTGTCGATGAGTCGTTGTAGACCTAAGTGGAAATACGCAATTAACACTGTATCATCGGCGTATCTGAAACTGTTGATATTTACGCCATTCACATTGACTCCATCCTTGGAATCCTCCAATGCTTCTTTAAATAGAAACTCTGAGTAAAGATTAAACAGCAGAGGCGACAGAACACATCCTTGTCTAACTCCTCTATTAATTTCTACTTCTACGGATGTGAAACCTTCGATCCTAACTCTGGCGTTTTGGTTCCAGTACAAGTTTTTTAAGAATTTGATGTCTTTTCTATCTAAAACGACTTCTTGCAAACGTTCTAATAGTAGGTCGTGTCTTACTCTATCAAATGCTTTTTCGAAGTCTATAAAGCATATAAATATATCTTTCTGTTGGTCTTAGCATTTTTGGGCGAGAACTAGTAAACTGAACAGGGCTTCTCTCGTTGCCATGCCGGCTCTGAATCCAAACTGATCGTCTCCGGTGATTGTTTCGCACTTTCTATAGATACGATTATGTACGATTTTTAGTAGGACTTTTAGGGACTTTTAGTAGGACTGCATAACTCATAAGGCTTATCAGACGGAACTCATTGCAGTGTTGTGAGTTTGGCTTTTTTGGTAGTGGGATGAATATTGACTCCAGCCAATCTTGGGGTATTTTACCTGTATCATAAATGCGATTGAATAAAAGGACAGATATTTCGATATTTTCTTCGCTGATTAATTTTAACGTTTCTGTTTCTGTTTGTCTAAGGACGAGCGCCCACCAAAGTGGCGTGGCAAGTAGCACGTAGCAAGTAGCACGCGTCTAGCATGTTTCTTAAAATGTAACCAAGAAAACGAATGATTAGAATGAATGACGTCACTGCAATTTTGGTGTGCGCTTAAATCATTCGTTTTTCATTGGTTACATTTTAAGAAACATGCTAGACGTGTGCTACTTGCCACTTGTCACGTGCCACGCCACTTTGGTGGGCGCTCTCACTAAGAAGTAAAAAATAAAATTTAATTTTTTTTAAAAAACGGTAAATTTAGACTGACAAAAAAATGTTCCTAATACCGGATATTAGTATAACGGGATAAAATTAGCCATCGAGGCAGAAATCGCAAATATATGTGTCTTTTAAATAATTGATGGATTCGACCGTTACTTGATGGAAATTCATTTTATGTAACAATAAAACACTGAAAACTTTGTTTTCAAACTTCCACAAAATTTATTTTAAATCTTATCACTACAGCTGTTTCGGCTGATTGCCTTTCTCAAGTGATCTATTTTTGGTTTGGGTTTACAAATTTATAACGTTGCCGTCAATGCAAAATGTCATGTTAAAAAATGCACCTTTCAGGAGAAAAAAAAACTGAATAGTATTTACTGTGTAAGAAGTGTTTTACTTAAAATTAGAAGATATACATATGTATTGTCCTTTGTTTTTAAGTATACCTTCTAATTTGGAGCAAAACACTTCAATTTTTTTTCTATTTAAATTAAAAATTAACTTGAATTCAACTATATTTTATTGTATTAATTTTAAAGGAAATAAAATTGTATTTTAATTTTTCTATAAAGACGTGATTTGTTAATAGTTAAACTCTCGTTTTTTAAAATTCTTTGAACGTGTTTTTATACATTATTACTACTTCCAATTTTTAAAATCTGAATAATTACCCGCGAGTAATAATTCAAGCACGCTTATGCTCATTGCGGAAGCATCACATTCTATCGAAGCTTCAAAACATTGTGTGTTAAAGGTATCTTATTGCTGTGTCCATCTAAGTTTATACGTCCATGCTTCTGACTATGTTTCCAAAACTGCTGCGTCACTGTACCCGTTACATCCAATATAGTTGTCGTAGTTTTGCATATTTTTCAATTTTTGCATATTTTTCAAGTTTTGCATATTTTTCAAATATGTTCAATGGGATTTAATTCACAATGGCAAGAGGGCAATCTCAACACATTTATTCTAAATCCACGTATAATCTCGCCCAGTATAAATATTTTTGGTTTTTAATACCTTTTGGATAACTGTAGCAATTCCGGCTTGAAAGAGTTCTGACGAAATGAAATAAAATAGAATTATGTTTATTGTCATTGAAAATTGTTTAATTTTATGGACAAAGCTGACAAAAAGTCAGAAAAATAGCAATAACAATTTAAAATTTAGAGGAGAAGGTACAAATACGGGCTACCAGTTTGTTTATTGCAGATATCTTGACTTTTTTAACGAAAAAGTTCAAATTACATAATTGGCATGTAGAATTGTTTTGCTCTTTTGTGCTAGTCCTTTTTTCTGCCTAGTAAGATATTTTTTTCTGTAATGTCATAAATAAAAACACTCACGGTGTCATTTAAGTAAGAAACGAAAGGTGATATAAAAATTTGGACTACTACTAAAAATATTTTTATTTTTATTTTATAATTTTTTATGTACAATATTCACACACATATTCATCTCTTTCTGCACCAGAACAATCCATATGTGCCCACAAGTTGCACATTATGCACTGAATCCATTTTCACCTCGATAATCCTGACAAAATTTTAAGTCACAGAAATAGTACATTGTTTACCGGGTAGGAAAAGCTTAACATTCCTGGACGACTGTGAAGATTGCTAAGTCGAGGCGCAAGCCGAGACTTAGCAACACAGAGTCCAGGAATGTGGCTTTTCCTACGAGGTAAACATACTATTTTCCCGCAAATCGTTTAAAATTCGACAGATATTGATTGATTTAAAAAAAACGCGATAATTTTATTCCCAAATAAATGGTGCTTTGAAATTCCTAATAAAATTACTTGGGTTACTATGGAAACGTATTGAGGTTGAATTGTCAAACTTCTATCATTTATGTAGAACACTAACAATTGTACGGAAATATCATTTCCTTACAGTAAGGAAATAACATTTCCTTACAGTAAGGAAGTCCTGACTTTTTCTTCAAGAAATTTTGACAGGAATGTCAAAATTTCCTGGCGATTTGCGGAAAATACAATTTACATCCGTATTTTCTGGATCCGTTACACTAGGAATCTCTTTCAAATCCATATCTTTATTGGATGGTTGAAATTCCTGCTCACTATCGTTGTCAGAAGAACTTTCGATTTCCTTTTTATGCCGTCGCTCTGACTTGTTTTTAATTTTTTTCTTAGTCACCTCCTTTGTGGACTCAGCCGTAATGTGTCATTTTACTGCTTGTACATTTAATTTCTTTTTGCTGTTTTGCTAGTCTAATGCTTCCTTGTAAGGTAAAGAAGTTATTACCGTTGATATCGATGATTTTTTACCACGATTTGTAGATTTTTTCCGATCGACGGCACTGGCCATATTTCAAATGGACTGGTTCACTGATGTTGCTTACTTCTGGTGTTTTTGATAGGTCAGCAGGTTCAATAACTTGGAGACTTACAAACTTCTGCAAACCAGAAGGACCTGGTTCACTGATGTTGCTGGCTTCTGATGTTTTTGGTAGGATATCAGGTTTAATAACTTGCGGTTCTACATGGCTGTGGTTGTTACTCTCAATTTCTGCTGATAAAATCTGCATCTGAGAACACAGTCTTATTCAATCGATAAATTCCAGTGGCGCGGAATCCATTTACAGCAATCTCTCCAGTTTGTTTTTTTAACAGCGTAAAGATGCCATTCGTTTGATATTAGTCCGCGTTAAACCATAGAATTTCGCTCCCATTTGAAGGATATAGTCCACCAAACATTTTTTTAAATCTGGACCAAGAATAGTTCCTCTTCCTAGTTTCTTAAGTACTGCTTCACTATAGTCAGGGCTGGACTCAGTTCAGTCATTTTTGCTAACCGTTGTACTGTCGATCTCGGGACATAAGTTTTAGCTGCATTTAATGTACCCATCGTTTTATCTCTCACGGCTTGAATAGCAAATTTCATGCTATCTGGATCCCAAGATTTTCGTTGTTTTGGACTTACATTACTTTTTCTATGCATTCTGAAAAGAAAAAACCCTGTAGACTAAACTAATACAAATATGGGCTAGCTCATATTTGTAGCACCACGCTAGACCATATTGCAACATATATTCAAATATTAATAACTAAAATGCGACTAAAATGCTAACTAAACAGCGTCAACACTAACATGTGATTGTTTTAACGGTCACTGGACCTAGGGCACTGTAAGCTTTATTAGTTATTATTTTAGATTAAAGAGGATCTAGTCAAGCTATTGACGTAGATATAGATGGTGGTATGTATTTCATATTAATTGCGGTAGCCCATATTAGTAGCATAGCCAAGATTTGTACCTTCTCCTCTACTAAAATTACTGAAATCGTCAATACCAGAAAATAAAAGATAATAAAGTAAACAATCCATGATTTTGCAATTTAAATAAATTGCAAATTGCATAATAAAACCTTATGAACTAATGAGTTTAAGTTTGCTGTATGTGTTATCCATATGTTAAAATACTTTAGTTACTTATACATAAAAGTACTGTAATTTCTTAGTTATTCGTTAATAAACTATTCCACTGAATAATATGGTCTTTCAGATAGATAGGCTTTTGTCATTTTACGGAACTTAAGGAAAGAAATTGAGTTGCAAAAGAAGATGGTTTTATAATTTGTTTGCCGAATAAAATATATATTTCTTTGCTAACTCAGTGGACGGGATCAGTAAATACACATCAAAGGTTGAATTTCTTGTGGAGTAGTCATGATTATATCTTGCTGAAAAAGCCCATAGGTCTTTACGAATTAAGGAAACAGTTTCTAAAACATATAAAGAGGGAAGAGTTAAAATCCAGTGATTTTTGAAGTAGCTTCTGCAATGTGTTCTTCTACTGAACCCAAAAAGATACCGTATTGCTAATTATATAATATCCCTAATTCATCATGCAGTCGAGAGGCGGGGATTCACTCCCCGCCTCTCGACGCGTTAGTGTTCTGAGCTGTTGGACGTGAATCCCTGTCCTGGCATTTGGTTTTCACCTCTGGCTGCGTTAAGTAGTTGAGTTACTGTGACCAAATGCCCATCTTGGTAGTTAGTATTTGCCTCTGGTTGCGTTGAGTAACTGAGTTACCGTTGCTAACTACCCATCTTCCTGTGTTTTGATTTCTTTTTCTTTGTTCTCCTGAAGAAGCTACATACAATTGTAGCGAAACGTCGAGATGAACCCACTTTTGGGTCACTCACAAATGACACGGTCCAAACCCAAAAGACGAATAAACTATAAGAAATAATTCTGCCTGATGTAGAGAACCATAATGTGCCTGATAACAAACAAGTGATGTTTGAAATAGGTGATTTTGTTATGGTAAAATATGATGGTCAACATTTTCCAGGAAAAGTTACGAATAAAGATAATAGTGACTATGAAGTAAAAACAAAGGTCCAAACTTCCAGTGGAAAATTGTGGAAATGGCCCCAAACTGCAGATCAAATATGGTATTCCTCAGAAAACATTTTGGTCAAAATTGCAGAACCTAAAAAAGTCAATGCTAGAGGGTTTTACAATATAACTCCCGTACAATATAAAATACAAATGGTATATATACTTGTATATTTGTAATGAATACATAATTATAATACCCACAGTATGTGTCTACAAGTTGTGTTCATTTATTGGATATGTGTTGTTTATTCTTTAGATTCTGCTGTTCATTTACTGGTGTTTTGAAAATATTTTATTTTTTTGTACAATGACTTAAAATGAGTATAATAAAAACATATTTTGCAATAAGTGAGCGAAGATGCAGGTGTGTTTGTCCTTACACCTTGTCCTGATGGCTTTGTTTCGCGCACCAGTCATAGGTCGCTGGTTTTTTCCCTTTGGGAACAAGGTTTTTCCTTAGGGAAATAGTTTCACTTTATGTACTTATTTGAAGGACCACCCAGAAAACTGGGACACATGAAAGACTCAAAAAGAACGTTTTAACAAGTCTATTTAAATGATTACAACGTATTTTGGACGCCGATAACTTGCATACGATACACACTTGTCGGTGATACAATATTAACCCGAATTAAGTAAACCTATTAATATCACGACGGTGTTAAAGCTTCTTAGGTGCGGCTAGCGCGAATACAGCCTAGAGCCCTCATACAATGCTGGAATTTGAACTGATACTAACTTGATGGATTTGAACTGCGAACTGATGTCCACTCTCTCCCTTCCATCACTACGCTCGTAATTGTTTCTAAACATTGTTTCGGATTTGTATTAACAAAGGATATGTTTACATTTCAAATAACTTCGACTTTCAATTCATTGGTAAAAACTACCTGAGAAGGGTATTTGCCTCAACTTTCGGAATTTTCGAATGAGTCAAACGGATAATTTGGAAAATACTAATACTTTCATTGTTACGATTCTATGAAAGTTTTAGAAACTTGTGTAGAAAGTTATTTGAATGCAAGCTATCGGCGCTTTACAGATTATTAGTTAGTACAAAGAAATAGAGGCCGAGGACGCTCACCTATCCGATGGTCAGATCAAGTACAGAAAGCCACTGGAGAGACGTTTTCCGAGTCCATGAGAGCAGCCCAAAATCGCAAGAGATGGAGAGAATTGACAGCCCGCATTGTAGGGAATCACGATCCTCAGCAATGAGGAAACAACAAGAGAGAGATGATATAATAATATGATACAAAAATAAACTAAATATATTAAATATTGTTGTTACGCAACAATAAGTATATAATAATTTCATTATTTCTGTGTTAGAAACTTCCCCAAAGGCCACTGAAATATGCGTATGTTATAAAAATTCAACAGTTGTCTATCTTATCCTTACATGTTCATTTATTGGTACTTTTACCCTATTTCTATTAATTAGATTGCAACAACAATAGTATTTCATTGTTATTTTGTATTTTTTTTTGCTAAATCGTTCATTACATCTCGTTTCTTAAGTGTTTTCGTAGCAGCTGTTGCTTTATGTAAGAGTCTTCAGAATAGTTATTTTCGTATTCAATCAAAAATTCTAAATTAATTAACCCCTTGGTTTTGTACTTGAATGTTTTGGTTTTAGATGAAGCACATGCCAAATCCGTGCGATGGTACAAAGATGAAGATCTCATAGCAGACAGCGCCAACGAATCACTGACTCCTCCTGACCGGCACATGCTGTGGGAAAACGGCTCCCTGGAAATTCTATACGTACAACCTGAAGAAACTGGAGAGTACACATGTGAAATCCTAAGATCGGAACCGTGGGGGCCAGTAAGGCAAAAACATGCCATTGAAGTATTACGTAAGTCATGTTTATATGCGTTTAAGCGACAAATATTTTTAACTCAATGAAAAGAACGAAAAATAAGTATTTAAATAAAAATTTAATTAAAAATCATTTGTAATATATATTTAAGGTATATATTTAAGGCCCAAACGGGCTAAGTTAAAAAGACATAACGTTTTCAGAAACCATGTTCCATCATCAGTGTCTAGGAGTACATGAATGTAGCCACCAAGATTAAATATGTGGGTAAAAACCCGTTAACAGATGTTTAATTACATTTAGTTTTAAAAATATGTTATAATAATTTAAGATTATAGAGTTACCGATGGATTAGGTAACATGGCGACATATGACTCCACGTTGAAGTTGCTAGTCCTAAGACGGTATGTCTTCGAGGACTGTAGTTGCACTCATACAGTCCTCGAAGACATACCGTCTCAGGACTAGCAACTTCAACGTGGAGTCATATGTCGCCATGTTACCTAATCCATCGGTAACTCTATAATCTTAAATTATTATAACATATTTTTAAAAATAAATGTAATTAAACATCTGTTAACGGGTTTTTACCCACATATTTAATCTTGGTGGCTACATTCATGTACTCCTAGACACTGATGATGGAACATGGTTTCCGAAAACGTTATGTCTTTTTAACTTAGCCCGTTTGGGCCTTAAATATATACCTATTACAAAGGATTTTTAATTAAATTTTTAATACATGGTATACATCCAACTACAAAAATGTGAAAAATAAGTATTTTCGATTTACTTTTAGATTCACCTTCAGTAGAACCTTTTCCTCCAACAGGATTTCTGCAAGTAAGATTAGGAGAAGAAGTCAGAATGTCCTGTAAAGGGGAAGGTATTCCATATCCAATCATTACGTGGTCCAGCAAGGTAAGAGTTCAACCTTAAAGTTTTATGATTTTAGTTATTATTATTATTGTTACACATAAGCAAGGGCAGAGCGACATGACCCTATTATGCCAAAAACAAATAAATTACATTCAAATAGTAACCTACTAACAAATTACAAAATTACAATTTTCGGTTTAAATGAAAAACAATATTTTAACTATAATATAAAACGGTCAAGTCTGTTTTTAAACGCGTTGGTAGAGTGAGCATAGACAATGTTGCCACTAAGGTTATTGCAGCTCTCAAAAACTCTATTTGATAGAAAGTTCTGTCTAGATCTTGTAGAAAAGTTATCTTTTTAAAGTTAAATTTGATGACCTCTGAGACATTCATTTTGATTTATCGTAAACATTTCATCGAGACTTCCAAAATTGAATTTTAATATTTTAAATGTGATAATTAAGTCTTCAGGTTGTCGGCTAAGTACAAAAGAACTTAGGTTAGACATACTGTCTTGTTAGAAAGATTCGCCAACTTTAATTTTATACAGTCGATCTGCCAAGAAATCATCTATCCAACGAAGTAAAGTAGCGCGAACTCCGAAATGTTCTAGCTTATATAGAAGTCTGCGATTAGGTACACGATCCAAAGCTTTGAAAACATCTAGATAAATAACATCGACAGGCGGCTAACTGTTAATAGATAACGCCACAACGTATGGGATTGGTTAGAATAGAGCGACCAGAGACAAATCCATGTTGTTGTGTTGGAATAACATGTTCCTGGAGAAGGAATTTGGTCATCTCCTCGGAAATAATGGCTTTCATGACTTTGCCATCTACTGGCATAGTTAAGTTTGTTGCCTTCTTTTTCAATAGGGGTTCTTCTTCCTTGTGTGCCGTACTTGTTTTCAAGCGTTGACGCAATTCCTCGGCCATTCGACATGTTCATTGTTTAATGTTATGCAATCAGGACAGTTGCTTTCATCCGACCCAGCGTTTTCCTTCGATTTTGCCCTGAATGGGCAATAGACAAATGAACAATAGTTTCTTATTTAAACTTATTTAAAATCATTGTTTACGCAAAATTCGAAAAATACGATGTTTCTACGCTAGATGCTTATATTCAACTAACTGACCAACACATATGGCATTACTATTCCTAAAAATAATGTGCAGGATTGTTTTGCCTGCAAGGATCATTTTGAGCCACTCTCCTCTAAGTTTATCTGACTTTGATTTTTCTTAAACGCCTTAGTTCCCATTACCTATATGTTTTTTTAAGTTAATTGCCTATAACAATTTGTTATTGTTAATTTTTAGGGTGAAGAACTAAAATTAATAGATCATAGAGAAATACTGAAATTCACGGCTTCGGATAGACAAATGGCTGGTATTTATGAGTGTACAGCTGCCAATGGAGTTGGAGAACCAGCAAAAGCATCCATAGAATTAAATATTATTTGTAAGTGAATATATAGATTTTCATTAGTTTTTAACACGGTTTTCTTCATATTGTTCTTTCAGTTACTTTATCGTGGCATCTCAATACAAGTTAATATTTTTATTGGGAATAAGCCACAATTTTACTTAACAATAGGTATATTTTGACATTTCGATTTTTACTAAAATACAAAACATTCATAAATAACACAAAATTTGTCTTTTTGTTAAAATATATATATATATATATATATATATATATATATATAAAATTAATATTTCTTGGGTTAGGTTCAATAAAGATATGTTACATGTGGAACTAGATTTTATTTTCCATTGCAATTAATCAACGTTTCGGCAGGAAACCCTTGCCTTTGTCAAGATTCTAAAATGTGTATATATATAAGGACAAACAGATATTGTAAAATATGTATATATATATATGACTTACCAAAACGTAAAACGTGACCCAGACATTAACGAACTGACATATAAAAGTTGATATCTGATATCTCATTGTTTACTGTCATTAGTATATAATTATTTTTATATGGGCGTATCGTTGATGTTTTTGAAAAAGGTAAGGTGGAGATATGTTATGACTTTAAGAGCTTTTTATGATGTTATATTATTATTGTTTAAATCAGATTGAAATATATTTTATTTAGGTTTTGTGTATCTTTTTTGTCATTTATTGCGTTGGTGTTTCTTTTTATTTCTATTGATTCGTATATCTCCCTTTTCTTTTTGTTTTTTTCTGTTTTTAAAATTTTAATGTTTTCAAAGTCAAATTTATGCTTCTTCCCGCTTTCATGTTTTGTGAGCGCAGTGACGTTGTTCTTGTCGTATTTGTGAGAACGAATTCTGGATTGAAGCAGTTGACTGGTTTGACCGATATAGACACCTTCACAGTTTGTTTTGGAGTTTGTGTTTTTAGTTTTGTGAAGTATTTATTTAAGAGGTTGTTGCCTTTGTGGGCTACTGTTATATTATGTTTGGCTAAAAGATTTGTTAGTTGTTCGGATAAACCTTTTATATATGGAAGAGTTGTATAAGTGGTTTTGATACTGTTGGGTTTGTTGTTAGTTGTATTGATATAAAATTTATTGAGTCTTGATTTGAAAATAGTTTCGATTAGATGTTCGGGATATGCATTCTTTAGAAGGGCATTTCTTTTATGTCATTCCACTTATTTTTTGGAATCTAAAAATAAAATCCTTATTATATCGGATATATGAGTCGAAGTACGTTATGGAAACTTTTAAAAGAAATAGGCTTCCCCTGGAAAAAGAATCCCAGAAAGTCTATTTTATTAGAAAGAAGCGATTGTCATATGGAGAAGACATTTTCTAAGAACCATAAAGGAAATGAGAAACCAAAAAAGAAAAATATTTTATCTTGACGAAACATGGATCAACGAGGATCATACACCAAATAAATTTTGGCAGGATGAAACTGTTACAAGTCAAAGGCACGCTTTTGTAAATAACTTATCTACTGGTTTAAACCCACCATCAGGAAAGGGACGCAGGCTGATAATAGTACACATTGGCAGTTCAGACGGTTTTGTTGAAGGTGGTTTATTAACTTTTGAATCAACTCGTACCGGTGACTACCATGAAGACATGAACGCTGATGTCTTTCAAGAATGGTTCAAACAAATGATAGATCTTCTTTCTAAGAACTGTGTAATAGTAATGGATAATGCAAGTTGTCACTCCAGACTTATAGAAGGACTGCCCACAACCAAGTGGTTAAAAAAAGACTTGCAGAATTGGCTGAGTTCAAAAAATATTACGTATCATCCCGGATCTATAAGAAAGGAACTTTATTCGTTGTGTGCCCTTCATAAAGAAAAATTTAAAAATACGAAATTGATGAAATTGCCAAAAATCGTGGAATGACAGTACTTAGATCCCCACCATATCATTGTGAATTAAACCCGATTGAACTGGTATGGGCACAGATAAACAGTGAAGTTTCAAGAAAAAATACCACTTTTAAAATTCATGATGTTAAACAGTTGTTTTTGGAGGCCGTAAATAATGTAAAACCTGAAAACTGGGAAAAGGCAGTAAATCACACTATTAAAGAAGAGGAAAAAATGTGGAAGCTGGACAATATTACTGATAAAATGATCGAGCCAGTTATTATAAATCTTGGTTCTGAAAGTTCATCTTCTGAATCTGATTTGGATTTGTAACAAGTAGCTGTAAGTTTTATATTAATATTTTTATTCATCTATTTAACATACCTTAGACGGTTATAAAAACTCTTTTTCTCTTTTGCAATTTTTAAAAATTAAAAAAAAATGTGAATTTCTTAAAACCCTTTTTAATGTAGGCCAGTCAGTTCTAATATAGTGTGTGATAAAAGAGGTCACTTTTGTTTACATACACATAACACTTTATAACACTGAAATAATTCATTTATTTTTTACAATTATTCAAAGTAATTTTTCAATTAATCTTGAGCACGCCCATGGAGTGGTCGAAGGTACCAGTTAAAATTATGCTAATTACTCTCTCGTTCATAAAAATAAACTATAGTAACATTTAATAAAATTTTACGTAAAAATAAAATTTTACCTAAATGATAGCAGCCTACTAGATTCATATCAATTGTTTATTTGACTTTTTGACTAATATTTTATTATCTTCAACGTTTTCCCCTAAAGTTTAGTAGAACAGATACGAAAATACCTGATCATTTCTCAAGTATATTTTAATAGACCAGGCAATATTTCCTATTTAAAAGTTGAGATAATAGAATAAATTAACAAAATAACCCCGAGGGCAAACAATCTATTGTATGAAAATTCCAAAATCGCCTCTGTTATTGCCAAGAAGTGAATAATGGGAGCCAAGTTGAACATTTAATTTAATTGTAAAAATCAATTTTCATTGCAGATTATCAGTTGCACAAACTCAAAAAACTTTATATTACTGAATAGAGGACTAAAATCCCTTTTTAACAAGGTGCCATACGATCCCCTTAGTTATTTAAAATTTTCAAGGGGGTAGGTACTTATAATTCAAAAGGGGTGCTGGTAGGAGATAATATTTTCATACCCATTTCTACCTGTTTCAGGCTTTTTGCACATAGTACATAATAACGCTAAAAATAAAGTTATTCCATACATTTGGACCGCATGGTATATTTATACTTTTTAAAGTAGATGACTTTAACATGTATAAATAAAAACCCACCTAAGATAGATGGAAAACGTTATGCGGATGGATGAAAGTGACTCTTCTAAAATAACTATGATAAACAGGCCGGTCGAAAGAAGAAAAAGGAGACGATCTAAACTCAGGTATCTGAAAGATATCATCATCATCATTATTCTGGCTTTACAACCTAGCGTGGTTCCTAACCTCCTCAAGAATTTTTCTCCAGTCGTCCTTATCCATCGCCTTTTTCCGCCAAGCACGTATTCCCATGTTTCTCATGTATTCATCGATGTTATCAAGGAACCTTGTTCTAGGTCTTCCTCTTCTTCTCTGACCAATGGATCTATCAAGAAGCGTTTTTCTCTCGTCCTGCACATCTAGAAGATGTGAGAACGATTTAAGGGAGATTTGAGTAAGGGGATGGTGAAGATAGACACTCGACAGGAAAGGAAGGAAGAACGTTTTGAAGCAGGCTAGGGATCACGAAGGGCTGCAGCGCCAACTGATGATGATGGCTTTGAAATGGTTTTGTCACTAGTTTTGACCTGAACGACTTTATTGGAGTATAATTCCATTCGGTTACTTAAAATCAATTTTAATTTAAAAATACCTGCCAGAAAAATCATAGCATGTGATTAGTTTTAAAAGGACGACCAAATGACAACCTATCACAAAAACCGGTTGATTATTACTTCTAAAAACGAGAAAAAACCTGTAACATAAAAATAAACAACAACTTGAATAATATTTACTTACATAGTGTGCAATTTCAGGTCTATTATCATACTGTATCGTATGTCGTTTGTCAAGCCAGTTATAATTTAGTTTTATCGTACTAGAAAAGGTTAACAGTTAATTCCTAGAACTATTATTTGTAGATCCACCTGAAATGTTGACGTCAAGGTCTTGGATACACACAGCTCCTGGACACAGGGTTCAGATCGACTGCAAAGTCTCGTCAGATCCCCAAGCTACGGTCAATTGGCTTAAGGGAGAAGTTCCTGTACACTTGGACAACAGAGTAGTTTCGATGATCGACGGAGATAAACATACATTATTAATTAGAAATGTGCAGAGGAGTGACTTTGGTATTTACACTTGCAGGGCGATCAATGAACTTGGTCAAGGAGAATTGGCTATACAACTTTCAGGTATGTTTCATTTTTTCAAAGCAAAAGTCACTTACAATCATAAACGCACAAGTTCTTAAGTGGCTTGATAGTAGAGGATTCATGTAATAAGGCAAGACAAGTTGAAATTTATAACTTTGCAGTTCAAATAATTGTAAATTTCTTAACCACGATCCTCTTATCCGCCAAAGTTCTATAGAGATATGTCGAAAAGCTTGGGTTTGTCTAAAAAAATATTTTGCATAATTACTTTGCACAATGCACAAGAAGTCGGCCATGCGCAAAGTGCAAAGTTGTAAAACTCAACTTTTTCAGCTTTTTTTATTAGGAACAAAAAAGGTCATTTCTGTGCATTTTTCCAAAAGTTAGTAGTTTTGGAGTTATTAACAATTTAAAACTGAAAAAAATAGTGTAATACTAGCGGAGGCAAATCCGCTGTCACCACTCTAATAATTTGCGGCTGTCCTCATTGTAAAAAGACGCCTGTCTCAAATCCTTGGATATGTCTACAATTCTTAGGGGATACTTATCCCTGCGAGCGGAGACAAGGCTTACTGGTCCCACTAGTCTTAACGGGCTGGTTTCGCCCTCGCGGGTTCAGGAGGGTAGGGAGATCTAGAAAAAGGGGTTAAGGACTTCTAGGTCTCAGGTCTTGTAAAGAGTTGAGTCTATGGGCTTACTTTAGAAGCCGGAGAAATGCATAAGCGGAAATTGTGTACTCTTCTACTCTCTGCCTGTAACGGCCGGGAAGGAATAATAAAACCAAATTTCGAGTCTACAATGTATTAAATAGGCTGTATACTACAATTCATATAACAAGCTGTAAGTTATAACCAATAATAATTCGTTCAGGCGCGAAGGGAGACGAGAAGAGACCTTAGCAAGAAATTAAAGGGCGGACAATCTACGATTTTTATATTCCTTAGGTATATATAAAGGCTGCGTAATGCCCGATCGCCCGTGCTTCTGGCGTGTAGCACTCTCGGCTGTCCCGCTCTTACTGACTCCGGCGTTTGCTGGACGCTACCGCCTCCGAGTACTCACGGGTGCCGGACAACTACTGCCTGCCGAGCACTCTCTGACTACGGTCGCCCGAATGCTACCGGTGCCTAGCGCTTACTGACTCCCTGGCCCACTTCGTTTTTTATGAACCCGTATTCTCAATTACCGAGGTCGAGCTTTTGCTGACTCAGTCCTCGTGCTTAAGCCGGGTTAGGCAGCGGTGTTATTTTTTAACAAAGGTCTCTGTTTTAAACGTGATTTTTTCCTTTTAAACAATTGTGGCGACCTGATATTGAACT